AAAAAAATGCCTGTCCAAAAACTTTTTACATAAATATTTTAATTATTTACATATTTTTTAGGGTTTTTCACCATTATCTACCAAATTTTTTCTTTACTTAGATATATTTTTTTATGATTGAAATTAATAAAATAATAATTAAAAAAATAAAAAAGTCATAAATATATATAAATTTTTGGTTAAAATTGAAACCAAATGATTATTATCAAAAAATTAACCAATAGCGATCAATCTGAACTTTTCAGTAAAATTAATGATTTTTAAAAATTAATCACCACAAAGTTATTTAATTAATAAAACGGCTTCAACTGCAAACAAAACTAAGCCGTACTCATCTCTACTAGAAAAATTAATGTCGCGTCTTAAATTTGTCAGTTTCCTTCAACTTTTTTTAACGAGGGCAATAGTGTATTGCGACTACTACGTATTTTTAGTAAGGGTGGGGTAAGGAGACCTGGAGTCAAATATAACGCCTCTACAATGTTTTCGCTTGTGAAAGCGAGTGTTATCATTTTGTCCGTGAAGAACATCAGTTTTTTTCTTTAAAAAAAAAAAATACAATTTTTAGAGTAAGAAAAAGAGTTGAACTCAGTTAATGAGATTGATAAACACACCTTTGATCAAATTGTCTATAAGGTCAGATGCGATTTTTTAAAAATAAAATACTAAATAATTGTAATGTAATTGCACTTGGGTTTTCAGCCCAGTAACATTAGGTCACATATAAATGTATTTTTTCTTTCTTAAGACAATGATTCGAATCCAATCCCTTAAAAATTTATTCAAAAAAAATAATTTTAATGTAATTGCTTATGTTAAAAAAGAATTGTAGAAATAATAGATTAGACTTCCTGTGACACAGGTTGGAGGGATTTTCTTTTAATTTTAAATTATATAATAAAAATAATTTTTTTATTTTATTACACTCATATATTATATCATTCAAATTAAAAACTTCTTACTTATATTAAAAAAGATTTCTCTCGCACAGCATTATACAACATATGACTCAAATTAAAAACTTTTCACTTATATTAAAAAAGATATCCACATAGATATGTTAAATATATAAAATGAAAAATTGTTTAATAGATTAAATTATATAAAATTATAAAATAATTATTTTTAAATTAAAAAAATCCTTTAATATTATATCATCTTTTTCTATCTAAAGATTCATATTTTATAATATAACTTACCTTGAATTGCAAAAGGAAGACCTTAAGCCCTCATTATCAGATCCAAAAATCACTCAATAGAGGCCGAGCCCTTGCGCCACCTAAATTATAGTTTTATGAATGCATCAGCTTCTGCCCCAAAAGGAGGAAGAGCCATAGAAAACCAAGCTGGCAAAGACAAATCTCGCCACCCAAATTGCACACCATAATAGCGGAAGACCAAAAGTAGGCAGACAAAAACTTATTTTTAGTCATTTACTTTACTAAATTTGTAAGTTTTAACTCCTCACTTTATACTATGACGCTTTTAGCCTTTTACTTATTAAAATTGAAGAAAATAGCCGCCACTTTATATTATTTCATTAGTTCTATTAACTGACTATTAATTCTATTAGTTAAAAGTAAGTTTTTATCAACTAATAATCAGTTAATAGTCAACTAATAGAATTAACTGTCAACTAACAAAATAATTTTATTAATTGATAGTAAACTTTCTTAGTTGAAAGTAGATTTTTATTACTTAACAATTAATTAATAGAGTTAATAATCAAATAATAGAATTAACAGTCAAATAATAAAATTAACAATTAACTAACAAAACTACCGAAATATTATAAATGAAGATTATTTTATTCAATTCTAATAAATGAAAAATTAAAAGTGCCATAATATAAAATAAAATATTAAAACTTATAAATGTAGTAAGGTAAATGATTAAATGTAGATTTTTATTAAGTAAGCACCAACGAGTAATGATGGCGACAGAATGCAAACGTGGGAGCCGTTCCCGTTGTCACTTCTCAATTCTCATTTCCATACTAAAAATTTTTGGAGGTAAAATATAAAAGTGTATTGTTTTATAATTTAAAATAATAATATATTTTTTGAAAAATAAAAATCTTCTTACATCTCGACTCTGTCAATGCCTTTTATTTTATATTTTTTATTAAAATTATTGTAGTGCACGTGGTTCTTTTAATTTTTTTAAAA